ATGGTGGCAATCTTAACTGAGAGGCTAGTGCATTGGTGTTTTATGTTAATCTCTTTTTTTCAGTTGCAGTTTACATTCAGTACTATTCTGTATTAGTTTCAGATGTACAGCATTAGTTTCAGATGTACTTTAGAGCGTGGTCCCCCCAATATTTCAAGTACCCATCTGGTCCCATACGTATTTTACTGTTGGTTTGCCCTACTTTTTGGGGAAACTTTTTAGCGAGAGCAAACAGATTAGTGTGTCATCTTAAAAACCAGCTCAGTTGCATTTATTTCTAAAATTTCCACAGCAGCTAGTACAAGCTCACCTATAGTTAGGTGCTCAATGACATTTTTAACGGTGTAAGGATTCTGAGCACATCTTTCCTGAGTTCAGGCAGTCTTTGTACCCACGCTGGGCTCACAGGGTCCCAATGTCCCCGGTACCGCGATGATACAAGCTCAGGAACTGGGTTTAAGGATCTAGTCCCAGGTCTCCACAGCTCACGTTGGACAAAATTGAGTTTCACAGGGTGGCTGTAAGAATCAAATGAAATATTTGAAAGTGCTTCATGCCCAGGTTTGTTAATAAAAATGAATATTAAATATAGGAGAAGTGCAATTAAAAAAAATCAAGTTTTCTGTAGATTCCAATTAGTACTAATGATACTAATGTAGTCACCCACAATATTCAAATTTGAAAGGCTTGAGAGAAGTCCTAGATAAAAGAGACACTTTTATGTTGGTCTCAGTGTGGTCTAGGGGGTGGGGATGAGTATGGAGCTGGGGGAAGCATGGGGTTGCCTGGAAAAGCTGCTTGTGAAGTTTCTTATCAAAAAGAGGTAACTAGTTTGGTCGTTAGCTCTGGACCAGGTTAAAATATTCCACCTAACACTTTGGATTAGATCAGATTATTTTCTTGAACATATATTATCTTCAGGTGGTTTGGGATTTTTTTAAAAATTTTTTAAATTTTTTTGTTATTTTGGTCTAGGGAGCAGATTGGAATGACTTGGCTTACAACCAGCCTGTGGGCTCCACTTTTTTCATTGTGTGAACCTGGAGTCCTACCTCTCATCAAATGGGCAGGTTTGCCTGCGGTGTGTGAGGTGGAGGCAGCCTCGGTATTACTGATCTGGGTTTTAAATCATTGCAATAGTCCAAAGTCTTTATATCTGAAGAGCAGAGTAAATAAAAAGAGGGCAATATGTTATAAGGATGCAGATACTTCGTGAAATTCAAGAGCTGGACAGCGGGGCCTGGACAGACAAGATGTGACAGGCCACTGGATACACAAACACCCTTATCCTGGAAGTTTCATTCCTCTCGCTCTTGGCCAGACCAGTGTTCTCTGCACCTCCAGTAAATAAAGTGAATTGTAGCCACTCCACAGTTGAAGTTCTAGGGTCCTGCGAGATTAGCTAGCAGCCCTTCAATCGCAGCGTTGAATTGCTGGGGAATCTGGCATCTGACTGGTTTAGCTTGGTGCAGACGCCCACCCCCAGCCCATCAGGGAGCGGGGAAACATAGTGTAGAAGAGACTGAGGAGCCTGTCACCACACGAGGGGAGGAGGGACGTTGGAAACTGCCTGAGCATGAGGACTTGGCGTGATCTGGGCAAGCACCCTAAAGGTGTCTTAGTTAATACTACTTTTCTCTAAGGGAAGAGGCTTTTGTGTGTGTGCGCAGAATGATGGGAAGCTGTCAAATAATGTCAGTGGCTGTATTTTTTGGTATATTCAGTCTACATATTCCTGCCATAGGCCAAAGCTTTTGTTTCATAGCCCTAAGGGATTCTGTTGCACGCATACTTTCCTCTGTCTTTGTTACATTTGATGTTTTGAGAGAGGAGCACGTTTTAATGAATTATATGATGCTCAAGATCATTGCTCCACCTTGTTTTCTACCCGCGGCAGATCACCCACCTCTCTGAAACTGCGCCAGCTTCTCCCAGGCACCACTCTCTCTCTCATGCAAGTCTCTGCTCTCACACTTTTTTCCTTCTGTTTCCCTCACTTCTCTTATCCCTGAAAGCGTACACTACCCTGCCCTCACCTAGGAGGTCCCCTCCTACTCCCCTCGGCAGGCTAAGTCAGGGGCCCTTGTCTGTGTTCCAACACCCCGTGGGTGGTGCTCACTGTGCAGTGGTGGCCTCGCTCGTTTTCCGATTGGTTTGTTTCTTCAAGGGGAATATCACAGTTACCATTATCACCAGTGCCTCCAAAGGGCCTGCCACATAGTAGGCCCTCAAGGAAAGGTACGCATGAATAAATGAGCACAATGAGCCTCAGTCCTGAAAAGCCTGGCTTTATATTGTTTCTACCATCAGCAGCTCTGGTGTAGAGGTCAAGAGTACAGTCTCTTACGCTAGGCTTCCTGGGCGCACGTCCCATCTCTGCTTAGTTTCCTAGCCCTGTGAACTTGAGCAAGTTTACTTAAACTCTCTGTGCCTCAGTTTTCCTATCTATGGGTGGTATAAGGATAGTACTTACCTCAGAGGATCATTCTGGGGATTAAATGAATTAAGTGCTTAAAGTCTGGCACCTAGAAAGTGCTCCATAAGTGTTAGTTATTATTATCATCAACCATCTAAATCACCACCAAAAACTTTTGCTGATTTAGGTGTGTTTCATAGGCAATACATTCTGCAGGGATGGTAAGTGCTCTTGGCAGTAGTTGACCCTTCAGAGAGATTCATGGGATCTCAGCCAATACTGCTTCCAGTATTTGCTTTCACAATTAGTAACCTACTAATTTAGAGAAATTAGGTATTTCCTTGGAACGGAGGAAAAGGTTAGAAGCTCCACCGGTGGATGCTTTCTGTAGTAAGAGAGTATATTTATTGTACTTAGATTGCATTTGCTTTTGATGAATGAGCAAGCTTTTTGGAGACAAGTAAAGACTTGGTGGAGTGAATAGATGTATGATTTCCTGGAGTCTCAGCATTCTCAGCCTTGAGGGTTTGTGGCTGGCAAAGTTCGTGGCCAGGAACTATCATTTTAAAAGCACAGGCTGGACAGGATTTTTTGCAGAAACTGACAGGCTGCTCCTAAAATTTGTAGGCAAATGCAAAAGACTTGGACTAGTCAACATGATTTTAACAAAAGAACCAAGCTGGAGTACTTTCATTTCCCAATTTCAAAATTTACTATAAAGCTGCAGTTAAGTTATTGTGTTACTGGCATAAGGCTAGACCTAAGAGTCCAGAAATAATCTTTGTATTTATGTTCAATTGATTTTTGACAAAAGTGCCAAGGCATTCCATTGGAGAAAACACAGCCTTTCTACCAATTTGTGCTGAAGCAACTGGATAGCCACAAGGAAGAAGGTGAACTGAGATGTTTACCTCACACTATCCATAAAAATGAACTCAAAATGGATCACAGACTTAAAGGTAAGAGCAAAAACAAAACTTTTGGAAAAATAGAAAGTCTTTAAGACCTCAGGTTGGTCAACAATTTCTTAGCTATATGAACAAATGCACAGTCCGTATAAGAAAAAAACAATTAGATCTCATCAAAATGAAAATTTTTTGCACTTCAAAATATAGCATGAAACAATTGAAGAGAAGCAGCAGACTTAGAAAAATATTGGCAAATCTGATGAAGGATTTACATTGAGACTATATACTCATATACTCCAATAATAAGACAAACATTGAAAATGGACAAAATATTTGAATAGTAATTTTATCCCCAAAAGACATACAAATGACTAATAAGCACACGAGACGATGGGAGCATCATTTATGGCGGTATCGCCCTGCTGCCCATAAGCGTGGGAGCAACGTGCTATTTCAGGCCCAGTCCAACAAGGCCAGATCCTGGGGGGCAGAGGACAGGTGACTGGGAGGCGCTGAGGACGAACACCTAACCTTGTCTGTGAGGGTTTATAGAGGACGCGATGTCTGAATGAGACTTAAGAATCCTTTGAAGTCACCCTGACGGAAGGCGAGGAGAGCCCCCCGGGCAGAGGGGACAGCTTGAGCAAACCCCTGGGTCGATAGGGAGCTTGCCGAATTCAGTGAAGTACTGGTATGAAAAACAGAGTGACAATCAAGGCTGAGGACCCCTGCGGAGGGCTGCATGTGCCATGATAAAGAACTTGGATTTATCTTGAGGACAATGAGGACCAGTGAGGAGTCCTAACTGGGGCCAAGACCAGCTCGGCTACCTTCAATTAGATAGTCCTGGGGCGCCTATGCATCACACCTTCAAAGATCCTGCTCTGTCAATCAATACACGCTCTCCTAGATGCCTGCGGCCCGTGTTTTGCATTCAGCCTCCTCAAGAACAAGGGCTCCTCCAAGGACCACATCCACACGCATGTCTGGCTGAGAAACTGTTCATGGCTCCCATGAGGAGCCTCAGAGGCATAATGAAGTGGCTGAGAGCCTGTCAGCAGGGCCAGATCTCAGGAAAGCAGAGGACTTGTAAATGCCTCGTGCACTCCATCCAGGGTGCCTGCCCTGGCTGAGAGCCCATTAATAAGTCCCAGCGGCCAAGGGGCAGGTATTGTGCTGGTTACTATAGCATCACCTTGGAAAGGATCACTCAGTGATCACAGCCAAGCTGAATGAGGCCAGAGGGGGATGTGGTCAGAAGCAGCAGGAGTGGCTGGAGACAGGCGCACATGCTGTTGTCGCTGGTCTCAGAACACCTTGTGGGTTGGAGCCCCCTTCAGCTTCAGCTGCAGCCCAGAGAAGGAGCGAGGCTGCGCTCCGCCTGAGACAGCACCACTAGCGCTGCTGAGCTTGGAGCTTTGCAGGGGGCTGAATTCCCAGCTAGACCTCCCTCGGCCTCTTTCTTTGTGGGGGAGTGGGGAGTGTTGTCTCCACTTGAAAGATCTTGGCTGGGTTTCTTCTCCTTTTTGATTTTAAGTAGTTAACCTGCACGAAAACTGACTTCGAAGTGTTCATCAAGGAAAGCAACGTGGTCCCCACGCTGGAAATGAGAAAGGATGACAGTTTCTGAGGCTGACTGTTAACGGCTCAGCTGTAGGTGTGGTCCCCCATTCAAAATGCCATTTAAAGCATTTGATACCTTCAGAGAGAAAATTCTGAAACCTGGAAAGGAAGGAGTGAAGAATGCCGTGGGAGATTCGTTGGGGATTTTACAAAGGTAAAGTTTGAATGCAAACTTTAGGTTTATTGCTGAGTAGCTGCACATTGCCAGTGCTCGAGAGATTTTGCTTAATGTTTTTAAAGCCATATTTTAATAAAGAGAAGGTGGGTTAGATTAGATGGCTTCTGGAGCCCCTTGCAGCTCCAACAGAATATGCCTAGGGGAAAAAGATGCAACTAAAAGTACAGGGTTGAATTAGGAAAATACCAAGACATGAATTCTGCTTATACAGCAGGATTAGCACTTATTAGACATGGTGACATTATATATTGTGTTTGGCATTGAATTAGAAAAGACTCAGGAAAATAATATTTCATATTAATCCTATAAGAATGACAAATATGCTTATGCTTGGAGCTTAAATAATTTTTAAGAATTTATTACTTCATTTTTTTTACTATAAATTAAAATAAGATGTTTGCCAATTGTTTAGCTTGTTATATAAACTATATAAAGTGGTTCCTGATTTTGCAGTTTTAAAAGAGAAGTGTTGTTACACCAATAGTTTGAAGAAGGTAACTTAAAAAATTAGTGCAACATTAGTATTCTTTAAAGCAGAAAATCTTACAGGATTACAGTGGGAAAATGTTAAGTACTATTATTGAATTGAATGTTTTTGTCCAAAAATTTTTTAAATATATTTTTAAAAAATTAAAAAATATCATTATTGAAAGGAGAGTTTGCTATAAATGAATGGATGCAACATTTTAATTTGTGATTTTTTAATAGACTTAGTAAATGCCTTTCTAAGTTTTACTGATGAATGAATAAGGGTCCTCACATACAAGGTAAATGACTCCCTTAATCTCTCTGATACCAATAAGTGTAAAGAACATCCTCGCTAGGATTTTTATGTGTTTAAATGAGTACTTCTAATCATGATGAGTGAAAATGCCACCTGGTATTTTCTTTTAACTTTTCCATGTTATCTCTTAAATTTAAAAAATGTTATCATTTAAAGGACTATTTGTAGACACACTGAGATGCATTCCATTTCTTATGTTTTATAACACAGGGGCTTCCGTCACTGTTAAATTTGTTATTTGTGTCACTCTTGAAGAGCTTTCACAGTCCGAGAACCTGGTTGGGCCCTTTATTAATATAGTGATCAAAAACAAAAAGGTTTCAATCAGACCTGAATTATCCCGTACAGATGAAAACCTAGTTCAGTGAAAGCAGGGTGGACCTGCCCAACGTAGGGCTTGATTAACATAGCCTGTTCCTTTAAGAGTGTTTATCCTTCCACAGAGCTCTCCCCAGGTAACGCCTTATCATGGTGCTGTTCCTTTGATTACAAATGCAGAAGGGAGGCGCAGTGGCTTCACGGGCACATTCAGGTGATGACAAAGGAATCTGACAAAGTCAGGAATAAAAACCATGCCTTTGGACCACTGCCACCATTATAATCATCAAACTCTGTGTCTTCCTTCATGAAATACTTGACAAAGAGTACTTAGGAACTTTCTTTTCCAACATTAAGTTTAATTGCTTTTTTGAAATTTAAATGCTTTTCTCTTTTCAGTAGGAGACTTCTCCTAAGAGCTAGTTTTGCTTTGTTTGATTGGATGATCCGCTTGAAGATCCTTTTGTTTACCAGTTGGTTTACTTAGGGATATCACAAAATTGGTGGTTTCCATGTTGCGCGACCTCCACCCAAAACTGAGCTCTGTGTTGAGGACCCTGAACACTTTTCCTCAGAACTGAATCATGGAACAGTAGACAAAGGGATAACTGTGCTTGAGAAAGAGCGTGCACTAAATGCATGCTCGACGTTAGTGTTCTTGTAGAATGACTTTAGCAAACATCGAACCTCTTCTTTCAGTGATCCCTACAGGGAAATTATTGGCCGAGGAAGGAAAAAAAGGCATTACCTGACCAGCGATCTAAGCTGATCCTCTGCTCTAAGGCCCTTTGACTGGAGCTCCACAATTAGGGCTTCTCCAATGACCGTGGCCCTGCCACGCACTTGGTGTCAACCGCGAGTCCGTAAGATAATTCCATATCAAGTGCCTGGCATCTCAGAGTGGACATTCCCTCCCTTGTTGATTTTTCCCATTAAGCCGGTTGAAAGAATCCAATATAAAAAAAAAAAATCAAAAGCACTGTTTTCTGTTTTGTAAGGGACAAGGACAAACACATTTAGAAGTTTGAAACACTCTCTCTCTCTTAGTAAATCATAGATGCCTATTCATGTTTGAGGCTGAGATCATCGTGTACGTGGAATTGTCGAGGTGCTTTTTAATCACGGAGTGTTCCTTGTGGTCAGAGGAGTGGCAAACGCACAGGGAAGTGTTTGAAGTTGGCACTCGAGGCTGATTACAGACAGGCATTGTTAAGCTTCCTTGAGAACAGTCATTGATAAGAAGCAGCTGAACCACTTTATCAGCTAAAGGTACAATAACATTTTAGAAATGTAGGAAGAAAGATGATGCACCTGCTTACTGTCCAGTACTGGAACAGATACAGTTGGAAGGCACTAACTTTGGAAAAGAATGTCCAGAAATTGATATTCAGATTTGTCCAACTTAAATGACAATATGGGTATCCTCTACTTATGGGTAATAAATGATAACAGCAAACATTATGTTCCAGGTACTATAAACTTGTTTAATTTTAGCAACCTTATGAGGTGGGGCTGGTTATAATCATAGTTTTACAGATGAGGAAGCTGAGGCACAGAGAGGTTAAGTAAGTTGCCCAAGGTCACACAGCATGTAAGTGGCAGAGATCAGACATTCTCTGCCCACCTTTCTCAGTCATTACACTATGCTGCCTTTCTAATCAAGTGCCTTTGCTCTTCCCATTCACTGTCTTGAAATTTAACCACTCACTTAGCTTTAGGGAGTTATATGGGCTACAATGTAGTCAGCAACCTCTGGATCTTAAGGAAAGTATGCATTTTTCTCCTGGGGAGGCTGAGGGGGAAATCAGGCCTTCTTTCAAGTATTTATATTTTCCCTTTAAGGATATGGAACCAATCCCTGAGTTGTGCCCATCCTCGGCACTCAGTGGTTGTGTATTGAAACTATGTACCCTCTCTGCTCCGTGGACAAAGGCAGGTGTGTGAGAGGACTCTGAGATCAGGTGAGCCCGGGTTCCGTTGCTGAGGTGTCGTGCACTTTCTGCCTGCACAGCCTCAGGGAAGCTTGGTTCCCGCCCTTGCAGCCAGGGTGCTTCTGTTAAAGCAAAGTCAGATCTCATCTCTTCCCTGCTCAAAACCTCCCACGTTTCCTGTCTCACTCAGAGAAAGCCAGTGTCAATGGCCTTCGAGACACCACCTGATCCAGAGGGCTCTGAGGAGTCCCACCCACTCGTCTCCAACATTCTTTTCCTGCTCACCCCACTCCAGCCACACTCTGCTCTCTGACTGGGGCTCCCTGGACGTGCTCCGGTGTCAGCTTTTCTCCCTGATAGCCTGCTGGCTCATTCCCTCACTTTATTCAAGCCTCTCTCAGAGGTCACCTTCCCAGGGGGACTTTCCGGGCCATCCTATTTAAAGATAAAGGTCACCTTCCCTCCTGCTCCCACCTACTCCCTGTCTGTCTCTGCTGCTTTGTTTTACTCCACCTCTCTCTTGGGGAAGGTTCTCTAAAAGCAGAGCCTAAGACAGGGAGTTGGATGAGTCTAAGATTTATTGAGGGCAGAGGGGGCTCTTTCTGAAAAGATTGGAAGGGGAGGAGTAAAGAAAAGCAAGAGAGGGAAGGGGAAAACCAAGCATGGATGTGATCTCAGGTAACGCACGGGGCCCAGATCACAGTGGGAAGCGCTGGGGCATCGCTGGCGCTGAGCAGAGGGGCCAGCCTGGTATGTCTCTGCACCAGTCAGTCATTGGATGTGGGCGACCCTGGCAGGTGGCGGTTCCTAATGAAGGTCACCTAGCGGAGGGCGAAGGGAGCAGCAGCCGAGAGCTGCCAACGGCTCTGGAAGTGTGCTGGCCCCAGGGAGTGCCTGGCAGCGTCTGTGACAGCCCCCTCACTGCACCTCTCAGGTCTAATTGCTTCTCAAAATTAAGCTCACTCCATTTGGGTACAGCTTCTCAAAGACGCTGTGGTGGTAATTCCTGAGGAACCTTCCAGAAAAGAGTTGGTGGGGTGCTCACCAGCTCCCATGGCTCCTACTGGTCCCTCTGTCTCCCCATCCTCAATTGCCCTCGCTGCTGTTAGCTTCCCTGAGGTGTCTGAACCCCTGGTGAGCATATCCTCACCATGCCATGGTTGCTGTGTTTGAGTTAAAAACTAAACAAAGCGGTAGCAGGAGATGCCACACAGGATCCCCTGAGGTCCAAACGTAAGTCTTCCTGCTCCTGTGATGAAGCAATTGTCCTAACCTCTCCCAACGATCAGGATCAATTACACTTGCCACTCTGGTGACCCTGGCCTTGCCTTTTGGTCTTGGTGAGAGGGCCCCAAAGTGACTGGGCAGCGGTCATAGCCGTATATTCGCTGGCATTTCTGTGATATTCCAAAATGGATGGATTCTTCCTTGGGAATCAGGACTATCAGACCCACAGAACCTGAAGCTGAAGAGATGAGATGTTCCTCAGGTGGGTAACTGAGAGACGGTGCTTCCCTCCCTTACTTCCCAGGCCTACTTCTGTTGTGCCTACTGGGGACATAGCATCGTGTAAAAGTGTTGGTTTATGGAATATGCTGTATCCCGAAGGACAGCACCCTATCCTCACAGAGAGTCATCCCTGATGCCTCAGCTGCGTCTGTAAGAGGCTTCCACAGCTGTGGCTGGCTGCCAGCCTCTGGGTCGTATGGTATGGGGTAGGGCCACTGGGTCCCATTGTCATGTGCCCTTGCCGATCTTCCTTTGCTGTAAATTGGGTTTCAGCCTTAGGTGATGTTGTGTGGAAACCCATGTCTGCCAATCAGGGTTCTGTAATTCCTCAGGTAGTGACGTTGGCCAAGACTTGCAAGCTAAAAAGGCAAACTCATATGTGGAATATATGTCAGCCCCAGTGAGGATGAATTGCTACCTTTTCCAGGATGAAT